GTGTGTGTGTGTGTGAGAGAGAGAGAGAGAGAGAGAGAGAGTAATAGAGCACGGGAGGGACTTCAGAACTTGCTTCATACAGAAAGCCAATCAGGGAAAAAGGTGGTTGTCCAAATTTGATGCTGAGAGAGTCTCCTCGAGTCTGACGGGACACCCCTTTCCGCCCGACCCCCTTGCCCAGGCCGTGCCTTGAGCTTTCGTCCGCTCCCTGTCGCCCTCCTCCCGCCTTCTTTTCCCTCTGTTGGGGTTAGATATGGCCGCCGCCACGGCATTTTCCTGCGCCACTGGAGCGTCGTTGGCCTGTGGTGGTGGGCCCACCACCACCACCAGCGCCAGCGCCAGCGCGGCTCCCGCCACCACGAAACGACATACTTTCAACGCCGCCATTTTTGGCTGTCACTCCCGCCAATTTTTCAGTGGAGGGGTCTCTAAAAATTCAAATCTTGCCCACTTGAGCAGCGGCGGGCCCTGTAGTGGCACCAGCCTATTTTCTGGGACAACTGGGCCCTCACCCCTTTCGTTGAGGAGGGTCCTTGTGAGTTTCTACAGCCGGGCAGGAGCCCCACCGCGGCGGAATCTGTCTATAGTCCAGCCAATTGCTGCCGCGAAGGTCTTAACACAGGACGACCTGAAGAAGGCAGCAGCGGAGAAGGCTGTGGAGTATGTCGAAAGCGGGATGGTCTTGGGCCTTGGAACTGGTTCCACTGCAGCTTTTGCTGTCGCAAGGATAGGAGAGCTTCTGCAAAATGGGACTCTGAAGAATATTGTGGGAATACCCACCTCAAAGAGAACGCAGGAGCAGGCTGCCTCTCTTGGCATTCCACTCTCTGGCCTCGACGACCATCCAGTCATCGATCTGGCAATCGATGGAGCCGACGAAGTTGATCCCGACCTTAATCTGGTCAAAGGACGTGGTGGGGCTCTTCTTCGTGAGAAGATGGTAGAGATGGCCTCAAAGAAATTTGTCGTTATCGTCGATGACACAAAAATGGTTGATGGGCTCGGAGGTAGTGGATTGGCAATGCCGGTAGAAGTCGTACAATTCTGCTGGAGGTATAATTCCTACAGACTCCAGAACCTTGCTGAGATTGCAGGCTGTGAGGCTCGTCTGAGGATGGACGGTGACAAGCCGTATGTTACTGACAACTCTAACTACATCATCGATCTCTACTTCTCGACTCCCATCAAGGACGCTCAAGCTGCCGCCAACGCAATCTCTTCTTTGGAGGGGGTTGTTGATCACGGGCTGTTTCTCGACATGGCAACTGCCGTTATCATCGCTGGGAAGGAAGGAATCGAACTCAAGGAGCGTTGATTGATTGATTGATTGATTGATTGATTGATTGATTGATTGATTGGACTTGAACTTGTGTCTATCATTGTGTGTGTGTGTGTGTGTGTGTGTGTGTGTGTATGTGTGTGTGTGTGTGTGTGTGTGTGTGTG